CGGTCGGAATGACCCTCCTGAGATGTGACATGTCATGACAAAGCCGGGATTAGAACTCGGGGTATGCTCCCCCATCCGCATTCTCCACCCATTCCATAATCGCAGAGCTCTGCAACCCGGGGGCATGTCACTAGGGGGAGGTGTTAGAACCTCTGTGAGCTGGACACGCCACGGGAGCTACCCGGCTCCCAGCGTCCTATTTCAGTGGGGACACAGGCACACCCGCACGCCTGGTTTAGGCGTATCTTCTGTAAGAGTCCAAAAACAAAACCCGAAGCAGAACCCACAGCTGCAGCGAGAAGCTGACCTCCCATCACAGGAGGGCCAGTTCTGCAGAGACCACGCCACAGACGCCCGCTGAAGGTACGTGGCTCGGTCGCTGCCGCACCCTCGTCCACAGGGGCTTCCATGTCTAAGAAGGGTTCTTTTAAAGTATTATTTCAGAAAAAAATTATTTCGGGATTTCATTAAAGCAAAAAAACTTTTGAAAGGTTTTTGCTATAGGGCGCATACACTTGCCAGAAAGACAGAGAGAGACAGAAAGTGAGAAATCACCCCCCAGGGGCGATGGCCACGCCACAATCCCTTCTCCATTTTCTCCTTGGGATTTTGGGCACGCACGCACATGTGCCTGGTGTGAGTTTCAAGTCACCAGGTCTGAGACTCCAACCGCGGTCGACCATGTGCGAGGTCAGCGTCTTCGCCACTACACCGCCTGCTGGGCCCCTTCCCAGGCTCCTTTAAACCCACGTCCTATAGCAGAAGTTTTTCCTGCAGTTTTGGTAAAAATAATTCAGGAGACTAATGTAAGTATCTGTAAAGAACCAGCATTCACTGACAGCACCCAGAATACTGACCGGCATGGCTATCTGCATGTGACCTACAAACTTGCTTAACCACCGTAGGGTCCAGCCCAGACCTGGCCATTCAGCAGCCCTTGGGTTGTGAGTGAGTTGGGCGTCTCCAGGTATGTCTCCCCACCTATACCCACTTCTCTGTGGCCAGATTAGGATTAAGTAACCTGACACAGTAAACAAAAAGCATAACTGCTATCCTGAATGGATGGTCAGTAATATGCCAGGCAGCTTCGGTAAGCTGTCCCCCTTTGAGGAAGGTATTATTAGCTGTTTTCTGCAGATTTGAAAACCAGAAAATGAGGACGTTCCCGAGCTTGGCCAACGTCACACCGTTCTTAGGAGGAGAGCCAGGATCGCGCTGCAGAATCAGTGGCCCCATCACCTACTCCTCTGCCCCTCACTGCACTCTCGGCTTCCCCTTCGGTCAAAGTAGGCCTTGTCTTTTTGATGTCAAGTTCATCACCATCCCCAAGTCTCAGTTTCTTTGTCTATAAAATGAGATGACTAATTCTTAACTCTGTGGGTTGTTGTGAACATTAGAGATTTAAGTTATTCCCTGTAACTATAAAGCATTCAGTAGACGCCTTTTCACCCCTAAACTCCGAGGTTCCTTCCTCAGTATGTATATTTTTCATCTATAGACCTCTGACCCCCTCACAGCCTGCCTGGATAAGCCCCGCTGGGACTGAGGCCACCCAGAGCACTCAGCGAACACAACAGCCCGCACCCCCACTGCCTCTGCACTGTCAGTCCTTGGCTTCGGGACCAGGACTGTCAACAAGGGTGTCAACTTCAAGGGGTGGGCATCTGTCCACAGGAACTGAGCTGAGGTCACAGACTCGCTTCTTTCTGCCCTACACACAGATGTCTGGGCAACAACTCGGAGTCGCTGCGAAGTAGGGCCAGAGCCAAACCAGGTGGGAAGCGCCATGTCTCCTGTCCAGGCCTCTCGGCCAGTCGGTTCACTCCCTGAGACAGCGCCTCGCTGACCACAATTCAAAACAGCTAGTGTCCTCAGGGTACTGTTTTCAACAGAAGGTCTTTATTTCTAAGATGTCTGGCTAGCCCGCGAGCCGAAGAGAGTGTTTCCACAGAAACAGCTGGTCACAAGAAACCCGTTCGATTCTGTGCACTAGAACACACACCTTCAAACACTCACCTTGCAGGTAGCCAGGTAAAAGCCAATGTCACCCAGAGCTCCAGTGGTGCAAGGCAGTATGGCGGCCACTGGCGAGAGCCAACAGAAAAGCCAGAGACCACCGTGGGTTCTTCACCCCACACGTTAAAATAAAGAATGGTCCAAATCGCTTTTCAAGATAACATAAAGCAAAATCTAAACAGAATAGCTTTCTTCCAGGTTACAAACTAGTCTTCGGGAGTGAGCCTACATCACACAGCACGAAGCAGTCCTACCTTCTCAGAATCACAGGACGTCGCAGTGACCACCCCGGGCGCGAGAGCCGAGGCCATGCATGCTAGTTCACCACAGCTAGCAGAAGCGCTCGGTATGAGAGCCGGCTGTGCAGTGTGTGACCAGGGAGCCGGAACCACCTGTCCTGGGACTGCATAATCCCACAGGCTGGGAGATTGCTGTGCATTTAATCCTGGGCTAGAAAAGTGCCCTCCTAGAATACCTGACTTCTGGGGTCTTCACCGACTCACCACAACTAGGAAGGAGCCCTGCAGAGTCCAGTGTTCGCTGCCTGCTCTCTTGTTGTCTAACGTGTCTGTCTTCTTGGTCAGAAAGGCTTTGTGTGGCTAGCGTGGTGGCACTGCGGCAACAGGTCATTCTGCAACACTGAGGCCCCGTGGGAAGTACCTGAGGCTCCTGTGTACATCAGGCACACACATGTGCCCCAAACCCAAGCGGGCTGAGGAGTAGGATGTGACATGAAGGCTTATGTCTCTCTCTTTCTCTCTCTCTCTCTCTCTCTCATCTCTATCCATATCTCTTATAGAATAAATTTTAAAATAAAAGAGCCTCATTGAAAAAAATGCAACTTCAGGGCCAGTAGGTGGTATGATAGTTAAGGTGCTGGACTCCCATATGGCCAACCACAGTTCGAGTCCTAGACCTGGTGGCTTAAAAATCACGCTGGCTGTTGGGGCTGACAGGTGGCATGGTGGTTGAGGATATTGGACTCCTACACAGCCACCATGGTTCAAGTCCTGGACCTGGCAGCTTGCTTTCTCACTATCCTTCTCTCTCTCTCTCTCTCTCTCTCTCTCTCTCTCTCTCTCTCTCTCTCTCTCTCTCTCTCTCTCTCTCTCTCTCTCTCTCTCTCTCTCTCTGTGTGTGTGTGTGTGTGTGTGTCTCTGTCTCTGTCTCTATCTCTCACTCACTCTGTCCCTCACTGGTCAAAATAAATAAATAAAGCAAGCTAAATAAGATGATTTTTTTAAATTCTCTTTTTAAAAAATCATGCTAGGTGCATGTGCTTGTGTGCCCAAAATCCCAGGAGTAGGATGGAGAAGAGACTGTGACAGGGCCATTCCCCCTGGGGGTGATTTCTCACTTTCCTTCTCATTGTCTTTCTCTGTCTCCAACAAGTACACGTACCCTACGGCAAGACAGCTTTGCTAACACAGCAGAGTATAAACAGTAAAATGTTCAGGACGTACAATCTGGAGTTGACGCTTGAAATTCCTAAACATGGTACCTGGTTTGGCCATGTCAAAACAAGTTATTATGAGGCCAAAAAAAAAAAAAAAATCTCGGAATATAAAATAGGCGTGTGAGTAGCTACCATGGTTCTGAATACTAAAGAGTATCAGAGCTGTGCTGTCAGGTGATGACTGAAATGGCAAGGATGCTTCCCTGAATAAGCATCTCAATAGCCGCAGGAGTGTTTTTAAGGCTGACATCAATGGAGCCCGCTGTTCCAAAGGCCTCTTCCCCTGTGCTCTCAGGGCCACAGATGCCTGCAGAGCTCAGAGCCCTGGGCGCAATTTAACGATGCCCCAGGGGTATTTCCTCACTGATGTCTTTCTTCCTCCTCCCACTAAGATGCTGTCCTCACTACAGTGTGATGAGAAGCTCAAAATGAAGACCCCTTTTGTCCCCCTTGTTAGCTGTAGGACAGGAGAGCAAGCCTCTGACAGAGACCACAGGCACGGAAGAAAAGGCCGCAGGCCATGGACAACCACAGTCACACACCAAAGGGGCAGACGGAGACCTGCACCGGCGCAGCCCCAGGCCCGGGCACTGTGGACCTCACCGCCCTTCTCACCAGGGACATTAAAATAACGTAACAGGAGAAGACAGTTTCTCAGTCTGGGGCTCTAAGAACTTGGGCGTCGTGGACCACCATGCCTGTGTGTTCCTGACTCTCCCCCTGCGTCCCCCAGCAGACCTCAGTTCTCTGCTTAGAGCAGCCCGGCCTGACCTGCCGCCCCTGCTCTGAGACACGCCGGTTTTATTACTGCAAGCCGGGTCTGCATTCCTTCTTCCCCGTGACCACAGGTAGCCTTGACAGATACAGAGCCACGTTTCCACGCTCGGCCCTGGTGGGAACCTTGTCAAATAAGCTGCACTTTACCTGCTGGGCAGTTGCACTCTGACGGTGCTTCTCTGGCAACTCTGATTTTAGCCATATGTTCATAGGATTTCTGCGGGAAAAGAAGAGATAGGAGGATCGTCAGCAAGGCCCAGATGATTCTCGAGGGGCTTCCTGGCTGCACCCCCAACCCGCCAGCATCCAGCACAGAGAGCCTGCGGACTGACATGTTCACAGGCACTTGGACACCACTCAAATGGTAACAGGACCCCAGCCCTAAAAAAAGAAACGCCCCTTGACACAGTATGGGGATCGCTGGGCCTGGAGGGCATCTCGCTCCATTCTTCCGCTACAGCCGCCCTGCCCTCCGCGCCTGCTGGGCCGGCTGAGCAGAAAGCGCAGCAGGCACTGCAGGGCCACGGGGGGCCCC